TTACTCACGCCCACCGCCCTCCCTCCCACACCCTTCAGGAAGTTAGGATCTGCCCACAGTCCTGAGCCTCTACATTCAGACCTTGGGGGGCTGGCCAGGCCCCTCCCACAGCAGATGGGGGCTCCCTAGGAAAAGCTGGGGGCGCTGCTCTCAGGAGAGACTGGGTCTGTTAACTCCCTTTCTCTTAGCCTGTGCAGAACCACCCTGTGTGCTCGTGGGCATTCGAGCTGCCACGCCTCTTTCTCGGGGAAATAGCGTTCATTTCTAGGGCTTTTCTCACCCGGCAACGCCTCTTCCCGCTGGGGCCTGGCCCTGGAGGGAAGTCCTGACAGCGCAGCTCTGGCATGCACTGTCCTGTCCTAAATCCTGAACTCCTCGGGGACTCACCGTTCCCCTGCCAAAGCCCAAGGTCACGCTTTCTCATGCTGCTGCCTTCCAGAAGCTTCTGCCCAATCGTACGCTCTCTTAGGGTGGGTCCCAAGTGTGTGTGATTTTTAAATTTCTCCCACCTCCCAGCCTTCTGCTGAGCTCAGAGCTCCGTCGCTGAGTTGAGAACCGCTGGTCTAGCTCATGAACCCATTCATTTCACGTTCAAATGCCCAGGACTGGTGCAATACACAGGCTCGGGGCAGGGCTGGGCTGAGGTCCACACGGGATTTCCAAGTCACTGGGGGAAAGTTGAAGGGTAATTGGTTTTGTATGGAGAGTCGGGAATTGGGGTTGGCTGGGCACACGTTGGGTGTGTCTCCCCGTTAAAGGAATACTCCACACGGCTTACTGGCATCCTTTCTTTCTTGTCAGATTCCCTGCCTAGTTGGTCACCCTTAAACCTCCATGGCTTAACCCAGCCACCACCCTGCCGTGGGAAATGCGGCTGCCCCCTGCCCCGGAGCCACACCCAGGGACATGGGCGTGACCCTCATTCTTGATTCCCATTCCCGATTCCCGCCTCAGAGCTCCGTCGCTGAGCGCTGGGGGGCCAGACACGCTGCCCAGCGGGCCCTGTTAGGCTCTCAGAACGCTGCTGCCCTAGGGGGACTGCCATCGGGCAGGGCTGGGCTGAGGTCCACACGGGATTTCCAAGTCACTGGGGGAAAGTTGAAGGGTAATTGGTTTTGTATGGAGAGTCGGGAATTGGGGTTGGCTGGGCACACGTTGGGTGTGTCTCCCCGTTAAAGGAATACTCCACACGGCTTACTGGCATCCTTCTTTCTTTCTTGTCAGATTCCCTGCCTAGTTGGTCACCCTTAAACCTCCATGGCTTAACCCAGCCACCACCCTGCCGTGGGAAATGGGGCTGCCCCCTGCCCCGGAGCCACACCCAGGGACATAGGCGTGACCCTCATTCTCGATTCCCGCCTTTCTGTTCCACATTCCAGCTTCTGAGAGCCACCCTGCAGCCCAGGGGGAGGGGGGAGCCAGGAGGGTCAGGTGGTCTCTGCCCAGGTGAGCAGGAGCCAGGGGCCACCTAGAGGTTGCCTGAGAGCCTTTTGAGGCCTGTGAGTAGGGCTTGTGAGGCCGGAGGTGATGGGAGGGCTGATATGGGCACACGATGAATTCAGTGGGGACATTGCCCAGCTGCCCCTTTCCTGGGGGCACAATCTGCAGCTGCCACTCATACACAATCCGCAATCCGGATAAGTTTTGGCCGACATAAGTTTTAGCTTGACTGGGACTGTGGGGGGAGAGCTTCGCGGTGTAAACTCTCCCCGGGAGGAGGGCTCTCTGCCTGCCCACCACTGCCTAGTTGCCCAACCTGCTCTCGGCCTCAGTTTTATCACCTGTGAAAGGGGTTAATAAAATTGTCCCTATCCCTGCATTCCTCACCCAGTTGTTGTCAGAGCAAGTGTGATAAGTCACTTTAAAATGTGCTGCAGAGGGGTAGGGAGGGTGGGGAAGGCACAGCACTGAGCTGGCTCTGCTCCTGGACTCGCCATCTCCTGTCTGCGGGCCTGGGTGCTTGCAGATCGGGGGCCTAACCCTATATATACCCTTCAGCTTCGTCACTGGGTGCTCTTGGGCAAACCTCTTACCTTGACTAAGCTCGCTCACTCATCTGTAAAATGGGCACATTAAAACCTTTCTGTGGTGATTTGAGGGTTAAATGAGTAAATGTGTGTAAAGTGAGTGCTCCCTGAACATTAAGCTGTTGTTAGGAGCAATGGGGTGGCTTTCTCTCCAGCCTGGCCGGAGGGCAGCTCAGCGCCTCACCAGGTGGCAGGCATCCTGGCAGGTGGATAGGGGTTCATGGGTCTCCCTCCCCCCAGTTCCTTCACACAGAGCGACTTCCTCTCGCTTGGGGCCTGTGTGTGAGACCACATTGGGGTCTGAGAACCAACTAATTGGAGAGACCATAGAATCCCCAGCCACCTGGACCACTCACTCTGTCCTCCAATACACTACCCCACCCCCCTTTCTGCCACAGGTAAAGGGATGAGGAGAGGGGAGGCACAAGGTGGCTTCCCATGTGACCCATGATTCCCATCCCAACCTCCCACATCTGGCTTTTTTTGCCCATTCCAGCCTTGAATCGCCCCTCACATGCCCAGTAAATGGGGATGCCCACTGGGCAGACCTTGTTGTCCAGCCCATCTCCCCGTGAGGCCATCAGAACAGACAGTGATTGGGCGGGAGGAGAGGGGTCTGGCCGGGAGGGGAAGGGGCCCAGTGCAGTGCCTCAGGCTCAGGGCAGGCAGAGGAGCAGGTGGGAGGAATCTTTCTCTCCAGGATGCTCCTCGTGATGTGGCAGCCGGTGCTTGCAAGGAGGATGGAGGGGAGAGCTCACAGGGGATCTTTCCTGGGTCAGCACCAACTCCCACTCCCCGAGGAGGTGGCCCACATGGGGCGCTCTGGTCCTCCTCCATCAGATAGTCCTTGTCCAGGAAACCACGAAGCCCTTCTGCCCAGCCAGCAACGCCATGAGCCCCGGGCTCTTTGGTCCCCACACAGGTCTCCCTCAGGCGCCTGATCCAGGGTCTCCAGCCCTGGCTGGCCATCTGTACTAACACAGTGACAGATTCCCAGGTCTGTGTTCAGCGGGTCTGGAGCAAGGGGTCCAGACTTCAGTGTTTTCAGTAAGTCCCCTCACAATCCCCCCTCCCCTGCCCCCAGATGATTGTGAAGATCTGCAGCCATATCTGGAGGCCCTGATCTAGCCCTCCTCCCCCTGCCTCCCTCGCCTGGGGACAACTCTCCCTTGTTGAGGTGGACAGGGGTCACCTATTTGGAAACAAGCCCCATTCAGTTACCCTCCCGTTTCCCCTCCCCGACTCACTGAAAAACTACAGAACTATCGTTTTTCCTCTGCTGCAAAGACTCCTGGGATAATTATGAAATGGTTTAAAGAGAGCTTTTGTCAGGCTGCCTGCAGAAAAATGAACTGCCTCCTGAGCTGGGGATTGGGACCTCCAAGGCTCGGAACCTGGATCCTTTCTTCTCTTTCTTTCCCAAAGCCGGTGGCCTTGAATCGCCCCTCACATGCCCAGTAAATGGGGATGCCCACTGGGCAGACCTTGTTGTCCAGCCCATCTCCCCGTGAGGCCATCAGAACAGACAGTGATTGGGCGGGAGGAGAGGGGTCTGGCCGGGAGGGGAAGGGGCCCAGTGCAGTGCCTCAGGCTCAGGGCAGGCAGAGGAGCAGGTGGGAGGAATCTTTCTCTCCAGGATGCTCCTCGTGATGTGGCAGCCGGTGCTTGCAAGGAGGATGGAGGGGAGAGCTCACAGGGGATCTTTCCTGGGTCAGCACCAACTCCCACTCCCCGAGGAGGTGGCCCACGTGGGGCGCTCTGGTCCTCCTCCATCAGATAGTCCTTGTCCAGGAAACCACGAAGCCCTTCTGCCCAGCCAGCAACGCCATGAGCCCCGGGCTCTTTGGTCCCCACACAGGTCTCCCTCAGGCGCCTGATCCAGGGTCTCCAGCCCTGGCCGGCCATCTGTACTAACACAGTGACAGATTCCCAGGTCTGTGTTCAGTGGGTCTGGAGCAAGGGGTCCAGACTTCTGTGTTTTCAGTAATTGTGAAGATCTGCAGCCATATCTGGAGGCCCTGATCTAGCCCTCCTCCCCCTGCCTCCCTCGCCTGGGGACAACTCTCCCTTGTTGAGGTGGACAGGGGTCACCTATTTGGAAACAAGCCCCATTCAGTTACCCTCCCGTTTCCCCTCCCCGACTCACTGAAAAACTACAGAACTATCGTTTTTCCTCTGCTGCAAAGACTCCTGGGATAATTATGAAATGGTTTAAAGAGAGCTTTTGTCAGGCTGCCTGCAGAAAAATGAACTGCCTCCTGAGCTGGGGATTGGGACCTCCAAGGCTCGGAACCTGGATCCTTTCTTCTCTTTCTTTCCCAAAGCCAGTGGTTTGGACCAGTGAGACAGAACTTCAGAGCAGCCGGGAGGGTCCTGTGCAGGTTGGAAAGCGCGGTTTTCTCCCTCCGACCCAATTAAGGTCTAAAGGATGAGGAAACCCTCCCAACTCCTGCTCTTGTTCGTGTCCTCCCTGCTCTGCCTACGCTCAGCACATGATTTTCGTTGGCTCTGCCACCTCAGTGGGAAGGCACGCTTTCTCTCTGCTCTTATGGCCGGAGAGGCGCATGAGAGGGTGAGACAAGATGCAGTGTGTGTGTGTGTGTGTGTGTGTGTGTGTGTAGAATGAAAGTGCAGCCCCCGTGCAACTTGTGTGCGTGCCTGTGACAGTATATGAAAGGTACAGAGACGTGGGTTCTGGATTCCGGTTTCTATGGAAATACGTGATGTGTAAAAATACTACGTGCAGCATAACTCCGTGCTACAACCTACATCTGTACCAAGAAAGTTCAACTTTCGCAGCCAGCAAATACACAGGGAGAGGATGATGGAGAGAGGGAAGAAGCCACGAGGAAGGCTGACTTGAGCTCATTTGAAAGGAAGCAGGAGACGGAGATGAGATCAGTAACCAGGCTGCCCAGGGCAGGACACTGGCTGGAGGAAGGGGGCTTCCTCCCCATCTCCCACGGGGCTTACCTGCACACACCTGCCTCTGCTCCCAGCTCCGGGTGAGTCCCCGGCAAGGCTCACAGCTCAAGGCTCCCTCCGCTTCCCCCCACCCAGCGGTGGAGCTGTGGCAGCAGACAGCCCGCTGGAAGTTCTGACCTCCCGGTGGTGTGAGCGTGCTTGTGTTTGCCTGACTGTTCTTCTACCAGATCCTATTGGGGTGGGGAGGCTAGGTTAGGGGGAGGGACAGGCCGATTGGAGGGAGGGAGGGGAGGAGGGAGGGAGGAGAGCAGAGAGGGAGGGAGCTTGGGAAAGGAGGAATGACAACAATAAAGTCTTTATTTGGCAGCCAAAGCTCCCAAAGACTTCGTCCACACATCATGCCCACTAACAAACTCATCTTTAATAGCATTTCCTTCTGCTGCCGTTGCTTCTGGGGGGGGAGACCGTTTGACCCTTGTTTGGAAAACAAGCCAAAATAACAGAGGAAAAGGCACCGAAAAGCAAACTCTGTGTGGGCCAGGGCTGGATGGCTGGGTCCACACCAGCCTGTTTCATCCCGCCTCCTAACAATTTCATTCTACACCACACACACACACACACACACACACACACACACACACACACACACACACGGGCTTCTCCCCAGTCACCTGCACGTCCCCCGCTCCCCTGGGTCAAATTTCCAAACCAGTGAGGGGTGTGGGGCATTTTCTCTTTTCCTCCGTCATCTTCTTCAGGAGGTTGCTGAGGAGCTGGCGCCTCCCTGAGCAGTGAGCGGGCACAGGAGATAGATAGCCTTGGTTTTGTTGCCAGAGGACCAGAGAGGGAAAAGCCTGGCCTGGAGTCACACAGCAAACTACGGCAGAATTAAGATTTGATATCAGACCAGGTCACTGCCCCTCGTCCAGGTGGACAGTGTCCGTGTCTTCTCTCAGCTTCCCCGTCTGTGTCACACTCAGGAGAGAATTAGGGGCTGTATGGGCATCACACAGCGACATGGAGGAATCCAAAGGTCCCCAGTCCACGTCATCCCAGGAGACCCGTTCAAGTCCGACTATTCCTCGGCCAATTTTCCTCAATGAAAACATGGTGATGCACACGGAGCAGCCCATCCAAACCTCCTGCCACCCCAGCCGACTCCTTAGGAACGTCAACGACACTCTTTCTGTCCGCAGGCCCACGGAGAGCTGAAGGGCCCAGTGACAGGGAGCTGCCGCCAGCCCTCCCAGTCGGGGGCACAGAACATTAAACCCAAGGCCAGCAGCCCTGGACGCCACCATTGACAAGCGAGCTGATCGTGGGCAAGGCACTTACTCGTGTGGAGCCTCAGTTTCCTTACCTATGAAATGGGATGATTCCCAGCTCACAGGTTGGAAGATGACAGGATGTACGTATGAGAGCACTTTATAAACTGGACGATGTTAGGATTACGAGGTGAGTGTGGCGAATGGTAGGCAGCCTAAGAAACAGAAGGAAAAGTAAAACGGGGACCTTCTCTCCCCACCTTGCTTCCGCCCCCGAGCGTGAGCTTTCCTCACCTGTGGGAGGTCTGGCAGGGAGTCAGTGCGACCCTCTTGGAGTCACAGGCGCCCTGAATGTGCCAAGCCGCTCAGGCATTTTATTTTTCATCCCAATGAAATAGGCCCCCTCCTGCAGCCTGAGGACATCACCCCTCGATTTGATTTGCTAGTTTCCCTTAGTGGGTGGGTGGTAAGAAAGGGGAGCAAGGTACAGTGATGTGCAGGGGGATGGGCAAGGGGTGGGGGGAGGGGTTAGACAGGTGCAGGGGGTGTGACTGGACCCATTTCCACGGGGCCCCTCCAAGCACCCAGAGTCCACGCTCATCAGCATGGCCGATGGCCGATGGCCGGCTCTAAACCCTTCCTCATCCACTGTGTCTCTGTCCCTCCCTGGTCTTTCCCTGGCCCGGCCTCGCAGAGAGAATTGCCATGAAGGAAAGAGAGCGCCAGGGGCTGTTAAGGATGTCAGGACTGTGCTAATTGGCGGCCTGTGGGTCTCATATGGCTTGAGGACTCAATAAGTTTCTTGATAGCGTATTAATAATAAAGCCTTTTTATTACGGAAAATTTAAAACATACACATTTACTCAGAATGGTGTTAACCCCGTGTTCCCCATGCCCCACTTTCACTAGTACCAACTCATGGTCCATCCTGTTCCATCCGTGCCCCATACCCCCTCCCACAGAGCGCTTGAAGCATCAGTACTTTTTTTTTTTAATCCTCAACTGAGGATATTTTCTCCATTGCTTTTCAGAGAGAGTGGGAGGAAGGGAGAGAAAGAGAGAGAGAGAGAGAGAGAGAGTGAGAGAGAGAGAAACATTTATGTGAGAGACACATCCGCCGGTTGCCTCCTGCAGGTGCCCCGACTGGGGGTGGGGATCAAACTGGAAACCCAGGTACGTGCCCTTGACCAGGAATTGAACCGACCACCCTTTGTGCACCAGCTGATGCTCTAACCACTGAGCACACCGGCCAGAGCAAAGCATTGATACTTTAAAAAACTGGATTTGAAGCTACTTAGGAAGGAAAGACACTTCCTAGTCCAGCACAGGCACCCTTCCTCCATGCTGTCTTGTCAGAGTTGAGGGCCTAGATGACCTCACTCAGCCGCTGACCCGCCTGCCCTGGAAGATGTCTGAGGTCACAACCACTGGTCAAAGGTCCACCACTGAGAAATGGAGGGAGTTGGGACGAATCAGGTCGCCCGAAGGGGTAAGGTGTCAGGTGTTCCCCACCAGCCTGCCTTTCTCACCGTCTTGACAGGAGACAAAATGGCGTCGAGGGTGGGAGACCAGGCCTGGGTTACTGAGACCTGGTTGTGCCTCGTACCTGCTGTCCGAACCCGAAACCCAGGTAGGTGCCCTCGCCTGGGACTCAGACCCTCCCGCTTCGTGCACGGCCGCGGCTCTGCCACTGAGCATTGAAGGGTATCAGAGCTTCACCTTGGCGATGTCTCTCCTCTTTCTGGCCTCAGCCCGTCCTGTGACATGCGAGGCTGTGCTAGCACCTCTGAGTTCTCTCCGAGCAGTCCTGTGAAGGGAGCCTGAGGCTGGGCTCGGCATCCAGGGTTGGATTCCCACCCTGCTGCCCCCCAGCTGCCCGGCAAGCAGATCTCCACCGCCTGCCTCCCAGGTCACCCTGCCCACCTGCCGCCGAGCACACCCAGGACGGCACGGGCGCTGGGAGTGTGGTCTGGGCGATGCCCGGGGCTCACTGGCTCCCTACAGCGGTCCCCGACTCCCCTCCAGGAGGAGCCCCCCTCCGGAGTCTTGGGGACCCCAAGGTGGCTGCCCCCCAGGGGGGCCTTCTCTCTTCCTGGTGTGGCGAGGACATGAGGTGGGCTCTGGGGAGTCAGGCTCCCCCCTCCCACCTGGTGGCCATCCCCCCCCCCCCCTCAGGCTCACTGCTTATTGGACCCTCAGCGACGGCTGCTGGTTACAAGCGAGGGCTTGAAGCAAGAGAAGGGCACGATTGTGTGTGATCCTTCCCATAGAAACACAGGCGGCTTCTAGTAATGCAGGCTCTTCCCCACCTCCCACTGCCCTGTCCCCGAGAGAGATTCTGCCGGGAAGGAGCAGTGTGGCCTGAGGAATTTCGGCTCCGACTGCCCTGCGGTCATCAGGCCCACAGGGGCTGGGCCTGGGACCCTCACCCCTCACCAGTGGAGGCTCACAGCCTAGGGCGCTGGGCGGCTGGGAGAAGCTCTGGGAGTCCTGTGGTCTCCCATCCCGCCGCCCAGCCTGGGGCCCTGGGGTGCCTGTGGCCAGTGGGCTCCTGGTGGGGAGAGACAGCGTCCTGTCATCATGGTACAACCCACAGCACCCACCGGGGCCTGGCACCCCCTGGGGACTCAGTAGGAGTCTGTTCCATCACATTCAAGAAGGTCGAACAAGGAGGCCCTCTGTCACGCTCGTTTTAAACGATCTTATTATTTTATTTTTATTTTTTAATATATTTTTATTGGTTTCAGAGAGGAAGGGAGAGGGAGAGAGAGAGATGGAAACACCAATGATGAGAGAGAATCATTGATCGGCTGCCTCCTGCATGCCCCCTACTGGGGATCAAGCTCACAACCTGGGCATGTGCCCTTGGCCGGAATCGAACCTGGGACCCTTCAGTCCTCAGGCCGACGCTCTATCCACTGAGCCACACCAGCCAGGGCTCGATCTTATTATTTTAAAAATATGAATAAGTGATACATTCTTTTGATTCAAAATCCAAAAGGTACAAAAGGTTGCGCCAGAAGAAAGTCTTCTGCCCGCCTGTGTCCCCATCACCGTTTCCTCCGGGAGACACAGCGACCAGCTTCTGTGCCTGCAGGTTCATTTGTGCAGCGATGAGTGAGCAGCGGCACACGTTCATTTTTCCTGGGAGGCCCATCCCGATGGCCACGCCACTTGGTACACAGGCTCTCTCTCTCTGCCCCCGATTTGTGGACCTTTCAGGGGGGGGGCCTCTTTCCCACTCCTGGGCAGGGAGACCCAGACGTGGGCCAGTGCTGCTCCGCCTCCGTCTGTGCTTGCTGCAGTCTCAGCTCCTCCTCTGCCCTCTCTGGGCTGTGGTTCTCTCCCTGCAGGGGCAGGTGTCGGCTGCAGTCCATCGACTTCATTTCTGAATCCGAGCGCTCATGTCACGGGCCCAGTGGAAAACGCCATCTCAGTCCTTGGGGCTCCCCCTCCCCCAGGTTGTACAGCAGTAACGCTGGGGCCTGGGTCAGGGAAAGTGCCTGTGGGAGGTGCACGAGGTCCCCAATCAGGGCCCCCCCAGAATGCCTGGCCACGCCCTTCATCCTGGGAGGCCCCTCTGGCCCAGCAGCTCCCACACACTTCCCAAGGCTGTGTGCTAGGACAGGCCTGCAGCGCTGTCATCGCCTCCGGGAGGCCTGCGGTGGGCTGGCACTCTGCCAGGGGCTCGGCCCCCAGAACCTCACCTCCTCCCCTGACCTGGCCCCAAGCAGCGGCCATGTCTTCCCTGCAGGAGGAACCTTCCCTGGGCCTCACTCCTGGCCAAAACTCTGATTCAACCAGAAACCCCCAAGGGCTCAGCTTGTGGAAAACGAAGCCGTAGAACGTGCAGGCTTCTTCCATGCGCCACCCGCCTCGCCTGCTCCGGGAGCATGAGGCTGGGCTGCCTGTGCAGCCGGAGGAAGGAGGAAGCAGGGGCAACGATGG